AAGAAGACATTTTCTCTTGTGTCTAAAAAGGATTATTTACAAGTAATTATGACATTAGTAGTTCATTTTGATTTTGAGTTACGACAAATGAATATGAAAATGACTTTTGTTAATGGTGATTTAGAGGAAGAACTTTACATGAAACAACATGAAAAATTCTTCTCTAGTGATGGTGAGCATTTAGTTTGTAACCTTAATAAATTCATTTATGAATTAAACAAGTTTCAACGCAAATGATATTTAAAATTTTATGAAGTTGTCTCTTCATTTGGTTTTAAATAAAACATCATGGATCAATGTATACATCAAAAGGTTAGTGAGATCAGCATTTGTTTTCTTGTTTTATATGTAGATGACATTTTGCTTGTAACTAATAAAAGATATGGGTGAGATATATTATGTCATACGCATTAGGATCCATAGAGAAAGATCTCGAGATATTTTAGGTTTATCTCAAGTGACCTATATCAACAAGGTTTTAGAAATGTTTAACAGAAAAATTCTTCGCCGAGTGTAGCTCCCATTGTGAAGGGTGGTAAACTTGAATAGGGTTAGTGCCTAAAAATAATCTTGATCAAGAACAAATAAAAATTATTCCATATGCTTAAGCTATTATAAGTCTTATGTATGTTAAGGTTTGCACCAGACCTGACATTACATTCGCAGTTGGAATTTTATGAAGATATAAGAGTAACTCAGGTATTGACCTCTAGAAAGTTGGAAAGAAGGTAATGAAATACCTTTAAGGAACAAGAACTTCATGCTCATATACAAACATACTAATGATTTGGAGGTGATAGGTTACTCTAATTTAGACTTCGTTGGTTGCATTAATACTAGACAATCTACATTTGATTATATTTTTATGATAGTAGATGGAGTTATATCTTGGAGGAGCAAAAGACTAATCTTGATTGTCACTTTTATTATGGAGGTGAAGTTCATTCCTTATTTTGAGACTGCTAAGAGTTTTATATATGAGCTTAGAGTTGTGAACTCAATTCTTAGACCATTAAAGTTATATTGTGTTAACTGTGTTACAGTATTTATGACTAAGAATAATAAAAATAGAATCAAAGTAAGTGTATCAACATTAAATATCTAGTCATAAGAGAATGTGTTAAGAAAAATAAAATAGTCATTGAACATATTAACACTAAGTTGATGATTACTAATCTTTTAACTAAAGGCATGTCATAAAAGAATTTTAATTTGTGACATCATTTATTTTACTTTGATCAAACTTTTATTTAGTTTAATGTCTTTTCTCATTTATTGTCCACATATCTTTTTATTTTGAGGAATTTTATTTAATTTGACTCATAATAAACATATAGTTTATTCATCATAGTTAAGAGTTATTAATATAAAAGTTTATATATTGTAATAATGAGAGATAATACTTATTATTACATTACCTATCACTATGATTTATATATTTAATTTGATAATGAAATAAATGATAAATGGAAGTGGGATAATGTTAGTTGTAATTCTTATTTTTAAGGATGTGGATATAACAACTTACCCATTAAAGTAACAATTAACCCACAAATTAGCAGTTAAATACACATTCCGTAAATGTGGTCTATTTTTACCAACTATCATAGCAATTATGTGAAAACTCTTTGCCACTTATTTCCCACATTTCTAAAATTCTATGATGAATAAAGCTTTACAAATATCACAAATTCTTTATACTTTTAGTCATCAAAATGACTATCTTCTATAACATACTACACCATAAAAGTGTGAGAAAAGGAGAATTTAAAACCTTAGACAATAACAATAATTAGAGATATGTCTTATTTCCTATTTCCGCATTTTAATATATATATATATATATATATATATATATATATATATATATATATCACATTTTTTTTGTTTTTATATGTTAGATTTTTTTTTCTTTTACTATTCCCACGTATTTCTTCTCTTTCCTCTTTTCACAAATAATTTTTTTAAATTATTTTATACTTTTTTCTCCCTCCACTACCCTATATTTATTATGACAACAAAACTTTTAAGAAAGCAATTATTTATCATATATATATATATATATATATATATATATATATATATATATATATATATATATATATATATATATATATATATATATATATATATATATATATATATAATTGCACGTGCTAGCCCGTTACAAGTGCATGAGGTAAAATGCTATATTTTCTTTAAATTGAGTATTAATTAATTAGGTTAGCTTACATTTGAAGAAAATTAAAATTTTATTTAAATAAAAAATTGATAACAACACATCGACATCATTTTAATTGAAATATTAATAAGTAGTAAATAAATACATATCACACTATAATTTATATATATATATATATATATATATATATATATATATATATATATAAGAATTTAAATATTTAGATTTATCCAATTCAAATATACATAATTTAAAAAACAATATTAAACTTTTAAAGCATATTATTCTAATTATTAAATTCTTGATAAAAATGTCCAAGAGATATTTTAAAGAATTTTTTTAGGATCTTTCTCAACTAATCTTTACATCTCACATTAGTCTCCACCCAGTTGTAATAACAATATATAATGTCTTTAAATTCTCATCGATACAAATGTTCTTCGAATTAAAAAAACTTGTATCATTAAAAGAATTAGTACTCTAAGAGGTCATTTGAGAGTAGTCAAAATGAACAGTTTAATATAACTTAATTTGTCCCGATGGGTCAAGTAAAGAAAAAAGATGATTCATCTTTACCTATATTTTAAAATAGACTATATTATTTTGTCTTATTTGATCTTATGATAGAATAATGAGCCAATTTTGAGTTGATTATTTTTTTAAAATATATATGACATGTGTATATGATAATAATTTATCCAAAAAAATAATCCAAAAAGGAAAAATAAAAATGTATTTTTAAAATTGAATTTATATTAATGAAATTAATATAATTATTTAATATATAAATTATAAAATGGTCAATTTATTCATTCTAAAAATAAAAATTAGAAACTTATTCATTACCTTATTATTTATTTTTTTAGTAACCTAATGAATTTAAAATAGTAATTTATTATTAAATTATAAGAAAAATGAAAGGTGAAAATAATGAATAATTATTATTTTATAAATATTATTTTATAAAACGAGTCAGTCTTATATTTATAAGTTTACCTAACCTCATTAATTACGAACTAAATAAATATGATTAAAATTAATTTAATTCAATTTAATACAATATTTTAAGTTCTGACCTAGCAAATTTTTTGGGTCCATGCCTGAGGTTAAATCAGATCTCTACTAGAGATCCTTAACCTCAAGATAAAGCGACATCTTGATTAGTGTGATATAATCTTAGAAGAAAAAGATAAAGATGAATCGTTCAACCTAATATTAGAAATCAAGACACATGAATCATATCAACTTATGGATCATAAAATATGGTTAGTATCAAACCTCAATTAAAATGATAACCATTACTATATATTTTTTATAACTTTTTTGTGGTTTCATAGTTCTTTTTGTAACTTTACATATCTTACTGTAATTTATCTAAATTCTCATTAGTTATGTTGTTATTAAACAAATGTCACTAGAACTATTAGAATGAATTGATCCTACGTATATTATTAAATGACTACTTGGTACACCCTTCGTTATAAATCAAAGACATGTAGTCATCAACCATCACATGACTTTTTAAAGCATTGCTTTTCTTAATCATTAAGAAAATTCACCATATAACATTTTTTATATTTCGTATTTTTCGTCGTACCTTTTATATATAAAACTCATGTTTAACTCCTGTTTATTAGTCATACCATCTATTTATTAATATTATCATTAAAATTTAAATGTAATGTATACTTAAGGGTAGTGTTCTCAATAAGGGAAAAACTAAATACGATAAATTTATTAATCATACTCTAAATATCATTTATTTATTAATATTATGATGAAAACTTAATTGCGACATTGTGATTGTGATATTAACCGATAATTTTGAAAAAGCAAAATAATATATAAATCCATAATTACAATTACTAAATATGAGAGAATATTAAAAGATTAAAAAATATAATACATCTTTTAAATTTTCTTAAAATTATATATGATTTTTTTTAAATATTATAAAATTTAAATATATAAATAATTAAAAAATAAATATTAAAAAATTATAAATACTAAAATTATAAACATACAAATAATTAAAAAATTGGTGTATTGACTCAAAAGGCGAGTGAAGATTCCTCCTGTTTGGTTTTAAAACTGTTTATTAAAGAATGACTAATCTCGAAGAATTTGAATACATAACACCTTTTACTAACACATGTGTTTGATATTATTAATACATTATCTATCCACTTTATTTTTCGTACACTACTATATTTCTTGACGTGAAAATAGTTTTTTTTTTTAGATTATTTGTCAATTATTTTTTTGTATACTTTAACAATGTTTTTAGTTAATATGTCAGACAATTTTATAAAAATAACTCGAAATAATTTATACTATTTTTTATTTAGTTTAATTTTTATTATTGTAAATACTTTTAAAAAGATTTTAAAATTTTATACAAAAAGTTAAATATTCATTCATGTTGATTCTTATGTCATTAGATTATCTAATTGTTCTATATTAATTTTCATTTTTCTCTTCTTTTCTTTACTCTGTCATTTTCTCATTTTCCACTTTATAGTTGAAATATGTTTTATCAAACCAACTTTCAATGTTTCACTACATTACCTTCTGTTGCGCTTTTAAAATCATTTTTTATTACCCGTAAATATTTTCTAATGAAACACATAAATGTTATATTGAATATTTTATTAAATTTTATGAGGTGATGAATAATTATTGTTAAATGAAAGTGTGAAGATTCTTAATTAGTGTCAATTCTCAATTTTTATCTATAATGAATCTGGTTCTTCTGGATAGAGCAGAATGAAATAGATTATTGTGAAGCACATAGAAAGCAAACACAGTATAGCGGTGAATGACACCGACCCATGCATTCTTTAACCACGTATCCCTCTTTTTCCACCGTGGATTTCTGCTTCGTAAACATATATATCGTCGTCTCTTCAACAACACCCTTTCTTCTTCCTCAGCTTCTGGATCTGAACTCGGCCAAGAGAAAGTCATGCATCAAACAAACATGGTCAAGGTACGTCATGTGTATGTATATATATGCTAACATGTATCATGAGTTAAGAAGATAATTCAAATGAATTCCTCTAAATATTTTTTTAGATCGATAATATAATCATTTATGTAAGATTCATTGTAAAGTTATAACTCAAAACACAATGTCATACACTAAATCAAATAAAAATCCATAAAAATACTTTAGCTTTTTGTGGTTGAAAATATCAAATTTTGAAGCAACGTTCATACATTCATAAGCAAGAAATAGCGTACGTCAAAGCAGTCCAAAACGTAGAAGCTAAGCTACAACTTGGAGCTTCTGTGAAGACGTGAAAACCATCCTTTAAAGATTTGAAAGAGAAGAAAAAATATTACTATTATCATTATATTCTTATAATCTATAAATAATTATAAGTTATTAAATTTAATTATTTGTTATAGATTTTATTTTTTCTTAATTATTTGTTTTAGTTTTATCCATTCAAAATATTTGAAGGTTATTTCTAAAAGAATCTATTTCCTCATCCCTTCCGTTTATTTCCAACCAAAAATTTGACGTAAAGAAATTCTATATATTTTTACGGAATAGGTGTAAAAATATTACGTAGAAACTTCTGATGTGCTTTTGATCTAATGTTGGATGTACTCAAACCTCTTCCATCATCCACATGCAAAACTCTATGTTATGTAAATTGTTTTTATTTAGTGTAATCCATCAAGTGATGACTTTATGGATCATCATAACATGTTTTCACTTCACATCTTGCTTTGTCTTGAGCAGGCCAATTCTAACTTGCATAAAAGAAAGTCTAGTGATGGACATTCTTCTGCATTCAAGGTATATGCAAGCAACTTCAATGGAATTTTACATTTGTTTATTAGTGCGTTTCTGTAACTTGTGCTTGATCAGAATCGCAGAAGAACTTGAATAAACTGATGACTATTCGTCGAAGTTAGTATGATCCAGCAGTAAATTAACAGGAGACAGTTATTACGATGTTCTGATATAATTTCCTTTATATTTATTTGAAGAGGATATCAAGAGGAAGCTACGTAGACTATCTTGAAAGAAAGGTTTTCCTCTTCCATTCTTGTTCTATTTTATTTATCTTCAACAGTGGATTCTTTCAAACTTAATATATCACCTTGACAAATATTCAATTTCAATCTAGTTATATAGTTCGTAGTAACATAATAAGAGCATGATGCTGGAGTAGTTATGTGTGTTCAGTTGAAGATAGTGCTACTGTTGCATTGTATGGAACTACAACAATGGAGTCACAGGGGTTCTTTCACTTCTTCGCATGATCTGAGTCAGAATATGAAATTCATGTTACTTTTTGAACTCTTCAACTCACGGTTAAAGAGATTTTATGTCTTGTCCCACCATCAGACATTCTTTCAAAAGCTTTTCTTGCATTTTCAGAACATTATCCCATATTTCGTTACCTCTATTACTCTCCTACATGTCTATTACTCATCTGGTTGATTTCAACCAAGTTTCTCTTTAAGATAAATTATTAGGAATAACCTAATAACCTAAGTATTGAGATTGATTAATTTCCTTGGCTGTGCGCCATCTTCATTATCTTTGCCAGTAAATTTTTACTTGCAATTAACAGCAGCCAGAGGATAACATTAGTAGAGACGAAAACTATAATGAGGATGAAGATAACAATGATGTTGGAAAATACATGGATGAAGAAAAAGCAGGAGGAGATTATGATGCAGTGGATGACTATCAAGACAAAGACTTACCAGGAGATGAAGGTCCAACTGCTACAGAGGTATCCTCCTATCTTTGTCAGTTGAAATCCTGTCATGATATCTCTGTTCATTCAACTTCGTTTACTAAGATTTTAAAGAACATCAATGTAAGCTTAGCAGGTCTATCAAGTTCGTATCAAGCCAGATTTCTACAATATTTCTTAGCCAATGATGATTTATTCCAGCCTCTTATAAGCTGTTTATGTTTTGTGCTTAGTTATATAATTATTTTCAAGCTCTTGTGGGGATTCTAGCATTGCTTTCAAGTATAATCATTCAAATAAATTAGGTACCCACTTGATTTTTCTCAGTCAAATGATTATTAGAAATAGCTGTTGCATCTTGACACTTCTTGGTTAACCATTTTACCTTCTCGTTCTCTACAAAACTTGATTTCCATACATGTTCTCACCAAAAATGAATAGATCATTAGTAAGAGGCATGGACTTTGTCATCACAATCTAAAAGTTATGAAGGAAATCACGAAGTTAACAAGTAATTTTGCTAAACACAGGAGCAACCTCACAAGGGTCTGGTGACAAAATTTGCAGCTGAAAAGAATAAGCCTAGACATTTCATCCATGGATATCACTTAATACAAGGACAGATGAACCATGGAATGGAAGACTATATTTTTGCTAAACACAGGAATCTTGATGGCTACGACTTAGGGTTGTATGCAATATTTGATGGTCACTCCGGTCATGAAGTTGCAAAATACTTGCAAAGCCATCTATTCGAAAATATACTGAGTGAGGTATGTTCTTTATTAACTGTTATATTTCAGTCCACATTATTATTATTCTCACTACTATTTGATTTGTTAATCATGCATCGATAGCCTGGTTTCTGGGAATATCCAGTGCAAGCTGTTAAGAAAGCATGCAAAGCGACAGATGATGAGATTTTAGAAAACATAGCTGATTCACGTGGAGGTTCAACAGCTGTTGTAGCAATACTAGTCAATGGAGTAAAGCTACTGGTAGCCAATGTTGGTGATTCTCGAGCAATATCATGCAAAAATGGTCTAGCAAAACCACTTACTGTAGATCATGATCCAGAGAAGGAAAAAGCTCTTGTTGAGAGCAGAGGGGGTTTTGTGTCTAAGAGACCCGGTAATGAAGAAATAAATTCATCAATATCTATAAAGTTGAAACTTCTACCTTTTTGTTCATCCAAGAAAATAATTCAACTTTGGAATAGTTAAGAACTACTCTTATAAGTAGAGTTCATCAGACCTGTCAATCATTCAAAAGAAAAATTTCTAGTCATATTGGAAATTTTTCGTTTGGAACTTGATTAACTGTTATTTAAATTTTAAAACTTAATCTTTAACATGTGCATCATTTTTCATGATAGTGCCAATATAGAGGTTTCTCTATCTTGCGCATAAAAACAGTGTTACTGATACCTACTTTTAAAGGGTAAAATCTACCTCTTCCAGATAGTTCTGCATAATGCTAATTCTTGATGTCTGTGAAATTGGGGCTTCTACGTCTGTCTTGCACTTTCAGTACATAGGTGTATGAGAATAATTATCCTTTACTAATAATGCTTGATAACCTGCAGTTGTATGCATGATATGCTTGCCGTATTTCTAGTCATGAGATGCATATATTTGTCAAATCTTGTCAATATGCATTTTTAATATATCAGGCCTCTGTGTATGCACAGCAATACCTTCTGCCAAACTACAAGCACATTATTATTGTACAAAATTACTTTACTACATGATTTTGGAATATCCATTAGGTAATACAATTACTATAACGAGTAGGATCATGTAGAGTAAACATGCATGCGTGAGGCTCAACATCTTATGACAACTGCACAACTAGTTCTGCTTCAGAAATCCGCCATTTTATAGGTTACATGTAATGTAAGTGTAATCTCATTGAAAATCGCTGCTAAAGTGATAGCTTACTGTGTCCTAGAAGTTTTGCTGCATTTACCAGTGACTTTATGTTCTTTGGGTTACCTATAACATTTTTTAACCTACCAAGTTTAAGGCTTTTTTATTTGATTTTATTTATATTTCCATTAGTGAACTTATGTTGCTTCTGCCAAGTCCAGTACTGAACATTATCTGAATTGCCAAAAATGTGACTTAATTAGGGAATGTTCCAAGAGTGGATGGCCAATTAGCAATGACTCGGGCATTTGGAGATGGAAAACTGAAGGAGCACATTACTGCAGAACCAGATGTGACCATTCGGAAGATTGATGAAGACACTGAATTCATCATTTTGGCAAGTGATGGTCTGTGGAAGGTACAAGAATATTGCATGCATCTTATAATTACCAGAAGAGCACACCTTGGCTAGAGCTAGCATAAACCTAAGCTCCACAAATTTTAAATTTTAAAGACATATACACTAGATGCAAAGCCAAAAATATAAGGATAAGAAATATTGAAAAGAGGAAAATTTTCAAATTTCTAATCAATTTCTTACTTACTACAGAATAACAGGGTGAGATCCACTATGCTCATAACCAAAAAATTAGTTTCAGGACAACGAGAAACTTGGGAAGTATGTTGAATGAAATACATAGCATGTCCAAGCTAAGCAAATATGCATATTTTTTATGGTCAAAAGCGCAAACTTAATTATACCGAAACATACAATTTTGGATGTGCTCAGTTGTAACAAACCAAATTCTAGAATTTGCACCCCATAAATAGATCAGTATAACAACAATACTCAATAATTTAGCTCCAGTGGGACCCATTCCATCTATTCTACACCCACAATTTATTTCCAGCAATATGCACTTGAACTCATATCTTGGACTGTGTTCTTAGCTCCAGAACCATGGTCTGCACAAGCAGGTAGGAAATTACCCTTAATTTCTTTGGTCCTAACAGTTCGTTTTTCTTACCTTAATCACACACGAGAACCATTAATCTTTAATTTTAGATTTTTTTATGTGGAGAATCTATTTTCTTTCAATCTAGATCAAAGTAAAAATACCAATATATCTCGTGCATTAATGAATGAAATGTAAGAACCTAGATTTTGTGAAACAACACTGATCCCCCTGCGCAGGTTATGACAAATCAAGAGGCTTGTGACAGTATCAAGAATGCGGATGGTGCGCAGAAAGCATCTAAGAAGTTAGTTAAAGAAGCTAAATCTCTGGGAAGCTACGATGATATTTCATGCATAGTGATAATGTTCTAGCTTACGTGCTCCACAATGCTCCCGCGTTTTATGAATATTTGCCTGTCTCCTGTAAAATTATTTTAAATTTCTATAACTCAGACATGTCCTTAAAATTTGTGAGACCATATACGGCTGTTTTAACTAGCCACTAGATGCTTCTTTATTTTGTCTATCTTTCCCTTCACGTTATGTTAATCTACTACAGATTACACTTACCAAAGCGTTCCCCTATCACCCTTCACATAAAACTATGGTCCAATGATTTCTCACTTACTGTTTCTCTCAACTCTAGCTTTCAAATATGGTGTAGCAAATCTCTTGGTTCTGCGCCGATCCCTTTCTCCCATACGATCCTTACAGAAACTCAACGATGATAAACGTCGACTCATCAAAAACCCAATTTTCATCAAATTTAAAATTCCAATACCCATTATGGTTACATGACTTAAAAATGGCAATTGCCTCGGTACTAATTTTACGTACGACAGATGATCATGTCATGTTGAAACCTGCCTGCCTTCTATGTCCTCAAGTCTTAGGGTAACTGCTAGCTTGTGGGCATCAAGACCTTCAACTTCTGCCATGGTTGCTACATATGGCCCAAGTTTTCTCAGGCCCTCTTCTGTGAGAGATTGCACTGTTATGTACTTCAAGAAAGAATCTAATGAAACACCACCATACATCCTTGCATAACCATAAGTGGGAAGAACATGATTTGTCCCACTTGCATAATCACCAACGCTCTCGGGTGTCCACGGCCCTAAAAATACAGAGCCTGCAGAGGCAAAAAACGGGCATGTAAATCTAGATCTGGAATTGTGATCCAGGAAACAGAACGAGGTTATCAAATGAATGAATCTAAAGGTCAAGGAAAAAGCAGCCAAGTGCCTAATACATGTTTCAAGTTACATCTAAGTCGACACTCGATAGTTTTTTTAACAAAAAGGAAGCTGTTTGAAGAATGCAGATATATGACAAAGCCATACCTGCATTCTCAATAAAACTCTCCCACTTCTCTGCATTCTTCACATTGACAATTAGATGCTCAGGTGCATATAAGTTTGAGAAATTGATTGACTGCAACATGAAAAAGAAACTTCAGGTTCTGAAACACCAGCAATGACGTAATAAAGATGCTGATAAATTGAATCCTAACTAGCTTGAGAGATTAGCATTTAATTGAAAATTCAAGGAAAACGAAGTTATGAATTATGACATCAAGAGATAATGCGGCATTTTATGCAACGTTATATAGCACTGTGGTACGCCTGTTATGAAAACAGGATGAAGCATATAAGTTGTGTCAACTATTGCTGCACATATATAATGTACAGGCCTAGATAAGCCTCACATCTGTGTAATGCCTCTGTACAAATTGTTTCTAACTTCCTCTTTGCCCTTCACTCTGTTTTAAATGGGACTGAGAATACATGGATGAACTTGGACAACAGTGCTGACCTGAAGCATATCATGTGCATGAACAATAAAACTGTTGCTCAGGGCTTTAGCAGCGAACTCTCCTCTTGGGAGACTCTGGCACTGCTTGCTGAGCTCCTCCTCTATAGCATTCAGATCCACGCCTTCACCAGCAATCACGAGCACAACCTGACTATCAGGGCCATGCTCAGCCTGAAAATCGTATAGTAGTTGCTGACGCATCAACACTATATAGAAGGGCCAAATTGTTCTTAGGCCGGTGTATGATTGTGCAATATATTGAGCTTAAATGCATGCTACTATTTATGATCATTATATAATGTGCTTGTCTTTGTACGTAACTAACCATGTTTGTCTTTCAATATTTTTTAAATTGTAAGCCAAACGGTACTAATTAAGGAAGGAAAACAAACAGAAACGAAGATGAGTGGATATCTTAACGGTTAACATTATCACTTTATTCATTATCCACATTTTGATATTCGAACATAATTTTTGGTGACAACTGAAAAAGGATATCATTTTTCCAAAACCACTATCCTAAACATGTTCATCACAATCATTAATTTCATCCACTGTTTGGTATCTTAAACTATATATCAATTTTACTTGCATTACAAAAGAGAATAGGCAAACCCAGAAAATGTCATGTCTTACTTGTTAGCGTAATTATGTCAACATTGCCTGCGTCTGCATCAGTGTAGTTCACACTAGAAGACAGCTGTTCAGTTCGAGTTAACTCTCCCTGTCTATTTACAAATCCGGTTTTCCAATGTACTTGAATTTTTATCCAAAACAAAGGTAGTTAGTTGCACATGATCCTGAACCGAACCGATCTTACCTGAGATTGGAAATTCCAAGTTTGTCTATGAAGAACAGAGCTAATTATATTAGTGTCTATGATGGAATTTGTTTATATAATACTAATCGATAGGGTCTCATTGTTAAAGTGCTACAAGATCTCGTACATTTGAACTCATCGTTGTGAACCCAAATCTATTAGTATGGGACATTTTCTTTTCAAAGTGAAATCTCCTAGTGTATGATTAGTGAAAAAGTATTTTTCATTGTTGTGGATTAAGAAGCCTTCATATCTTAATGCATGTATTTAATTTTGTGAGAAATCAAATAGTATTTTAGGAAAGAATAAATAAGGAAATTTGTATATTTCCTTGTAATCTGTACATATTTGAATAATTAGGAACAATCCCATAAATCAAGGGATCCTAGCATAAAATAGAGTTATTATATCTCCTAAAATAGTTTAGGTCTCTTGTATATATCTTATATCATCTCTTTGTATTGATATAATAAAAAATCATATTTCAGCTTAATCTATTTCTCAGATGGTATCGAGCTTCCGATCTAGGAAGCTGCATCTCGCGCTCGATAAACCCTAAGACGACGACCTGCATTCTGCTCGCATATTTTGTAACCCTAAGACGGCAGACTGCATTGCTGCTGCATTTTTCTTAACCCTAAGACGGCAACCTACATTGCTGCTTGCATTTTTCTTAATCCTAAGCGACAGCCTTTTTCATAATCCTAAGACGACAGCCTGCATTGTTGTTGCATCGCACCTTTTTGCTATAATGTCAAGGGAAGAGGAGATAGAAAGGGTGAAAACCATTCTTAGTAAGCTGGAAAAACCTACAGGTATGTGTTCTTTGGCATACTCAGGTAAGTTTCCACCTTCTTTTGGATTAAATGTCTCAGATACGCCTTTTAACCATTATTGGATATTGGACTCTGGAGCCACAGATCACATGACACCATTAGCCAAACACTTCTCCACATATTCCCCATGTCCCAGCAACAAGAAAATTGCCACAGCAGATGGAACCCTTATAACTGCAGCTGGTCAAGGAAATATCCAAATCAATCCTTTAATAACCTTAAAAGACGTTCTCCATGTCCCAAAGTTGTCCACGAACCTAGTGTCTATACAAAAACTTATAAAGGATTTGTCATGTAAAGTTGTTTTTTCCAACGATCATTGTGTATTTCGGGATAAGGATTCTGGGAGGATGATTGGACATGCTAGAGAATGGAATGGCCTTTATTATCTCGAAGATCCAAGTCTGCCCAAGCAAGAATAGAATCTCTCACTCCTTCATATCTGAATCCTTGATGACCAACAGAGAAAAAATCATGCTTTATCATTGTCGGTTGGGACATCCCTCTTTTGGAGTGATCAAAATTATATTTCCCTCTCTGTTTACCAAGTTAGACGTTGAGAGTCTTCATTGTGAGGTGTGTGAACTTGCTAAGCACAAACGTATATCTTTTCCAATAAGTAATAGAATTAGCAATTTCCCTTTTTATCTTGTTCATACTGATGTATGGGGACCTTCTAATATTCCAAATGTGTCTGGTACTCGATGGTTTGTCACCTTTATAGATGACTGTACAAGGGTCACTTGGGTTTTCCTACTTAAACAAAAATCAGAGGTCAGTTCTGTCTTCCTAAACTTCCACTCCATGATAAAAAATCAGTTTGGTGTTAATATTAAGAGGCTTAGGTCAGATAATGCCAAAGATTACTTCAATCATGTCCTTAATTCTTTTTGTCAAAAAGAAGGTATAATTCATGAGTCCTCTTGTGTCAAAACACCACAACAGAATGGGGTCACAGAGAGGAAAAATGGACATCTATTAAATCAGACTCGGGCATTGTTGTTCCAAAAAAGTGTCCCAAAAAAATTTCTGGGGGGAAGCTGTCCTTACAGCAACATACCTTATCAATAGACTACCCTCTAGAGTCTTAGGATCAAAAAGCCCTATGGAAGTTTTGTCGTCTTTCTATCCAAACTTGTCTACTACAAATAATCTTAAACCAAGAGTTTTTGGGTGCATCTCATATGTCCATATTCATAGTACAGACAGGGGAAAACTTGATCCTAGAGCCTTAAAGTGTGTCTTTGTTGGTTACTCACCCACTCAAAAAGGGTATAAATGTTATCACCCCCCATCCAAAAAATTCTTTGTGTCTAGGGATGTTACCTTCAATGAACAAGAGGACTATTTCCATCAACCTTATCTTCAAGGGGAGAGTTTCAGGGAAGATAAGGAAAGTAGTGATTCTGGTTTTCCCATTCTTCCAGACTTGACATTTGAACCTAAACAAGATCAAATTGAAGTTGTAACAAATGAAACAAGTCAAGGAATTGGTCAAGCAAAGGAAGTTGGTCAAGAAAGTGAAATTAATTGTGAAGTTGATCAAGAAGATGTTGAAACTGGAAAATTTGGTAAGACGCTGGTGTACTCAAGGAAGACTAAGGCCATTCCAGGATCAAGCCATGTTCAAGAATCCAACTCGACTCCACAAAAAGAGGTAACATTTTTTTCTCCAGCTGTGCAGGTTGAAATTGAAACCCAAAATGATCCTGACCTCCCAATTGCCATTAGAAAAGGAACAAGAAAATGCACCAAACAGCCACTCTACCCTCTCTCAAATTACCTGTCCTTTAAAAATTTCTCTCCTACCCATAAAACCTTCCTAGTAAACCTAAACACTGTACTTCTACCTAATACCCTATCTGAGGCATTGTCTGACAGAAAATGGAGGCAATCCATGGATGAAGAAATGGAGGCATTGGAGAAGAACAACACTTGGGAGTTAGTCACCTTACCAATAGGAAAGAGGCCAGTTGGATGTAAATGGGTCTATACAGATGAAATACAAGGTCGATGGATCAATTGAGAGATATAAGGCAAGACTAGTTGCCAAAGGGTTCACCCAAACCTATGGAGTTGATTATTTGGAGACCTTTGCTCCGGTTGCCAAAATGAACACAGTTAGGGTGATATTGTCCCTTGCTGCCAATTATGGTTGGAACTTAGAACAATTTGATGTTAAGAATGTTTTCCTACATGGAGACCTTGAAGAAGAAATCTATATGGAGATACCTCCGGGATATGGTAAAGATGTTGCTGCCAACACCGTTTGCAAGTTGAAAAAGGCATTATATGGGTTAAAACAGATCCCCGTGCATGGTTTGGCAGTGTTTACTAAAGTTATGACAGTGTCTGGGTTACAAACAAAGCCAAGGGGACCATACTTTGTTTTTTAAACATTCCAAGTCGGGGGAGTAACAATATTATTGGTGTATGTGGATGACATAATATTAACTCGGAGATAATAAAGAAGAGCAACAATTATTGAGTCAATGCTTAGGCAAGGAATTTGAGATCAAGACTTTGGGAAAACTAAAATATTTTTTGGGAATTGAAGTTGCCCACTCCGAGAAAGGGATATTTATATTTCAGCAGAAATACACCACCGATTTGCTCAAGGAAACCGGCAAGGCAACTTGCAAACCTGCTAGTACCCCATTAGAACCAAACCTAAAGCTTGGAAATGCAGAAGAAGATGTTGTCGTTGAAAAAGATATGTACCAAAGATTAGTGGGCAGACTTATATATTTGTCACATACCAGTGCCGATATTGCCTATGCAAGTGAGTTTAATTAGCCAATTTATGCATAGCCCAAAGGAGACCCATTTACAAGCTGCCCACGTAATTTTACAAGTACCTTAAAGGAACTCCAGGAAGATGGATTCTATTCAAAAGGAATGGTAATGTGAAGCTTGAAGCCTATACTCGATGTCGATTATGCAGGGTCAATTGTGGATAGGAGGTCAACTACGGGATATTGCACCTTTCTTGGAGGAAATCTTGTGACTTGGAGAAGCAAAAGCAGGGTGTAGTGGCTCTGGTCCAAAGGTCTGAGCAGAATTCCGAGCCATGGCACAAGGTATATGTGAGTTGCTATGGCTTAAAATCATCTTAGAAGACTTGAGGATAAAGTGGGAAGAACCTATGAAGCTCTATTGTGATAATAAGTCAGCAATCAGTATAGCCCACAACCTAGTGCAGCATGATAGAACAAAGCATATTGAAGTAGACAGACACTTCATCAAAGAAAAGCTTGATAAGTGGCTTGATATGCACTCCATATGTGTCCTCTCAAGACCAAATTGCGGACATTCTTACCAAGGGACTGGGCCGCCATAATTTTGAGAAGATTGTATCCAAGCTGGGAATGGAAAACATCTATTCACCAGCTTGAGGGGGAGTGTGAGAAATCAAATAGTATTTTAGGAAAGAATAAATAAGGAAATTTGTATATTTCCTTGTAATCTGTACATATTTGAATAATTAGGAACAATCCCATAAATCAAGGGATCCTAGCATAAAATAGAGTTATTATATCTCCTAAAATAGTTTAGGTCTCTTGTATATATCTTATATCATCTCTTTGTATTGATATAATAAAAAATCATATTTCAGCTTAATCTATTTCTCGAAATTTATTCAGAGTTAATAGAACTAGATCTACTTTTTGGGGAATATAATTCGAAGCAACAACAAGAATATTTCTAGAGGTACATCTTTCACAATTTCTGAAGAGATAATTCATTAAAAGACCGAGGGATAAGTAATTCATGAATGTTAGCCTTTATTCTTTTATTTATGGGTCACATTAAAATTTCATAATGTAAATCAAACTATCGAAGTTAATGCAGATACCTTACTACAAGGTCTGGAATACAAGGTCTCCCAAGAGAGAAGATAGTATTCCCTAGCCTAGAGCCATTTATATCTTCAGGTTATAATAATCTGGGGCATCCATGAGATGACTATTTTGATTGTGAATTTCCTAGAGGTTGTAATCAACTTATATTTGTACTTTATCACTTGAAACCTTAAAACATTCTACTGATATATGAACGTGATGCTTCATTCAAGACTCAAAAAGGTCCTAGAACTTGATTTTTGACCTAGTTGAGAGTATACAAAGTGAGCTCTCAGCAGTTCTATATTATGTTAAATCTGAACAGAAATATACAAAGGCTGACAGGAAACCTACACCTAGGACTCTATATGATTGACAACCACAGCCAAAAAAGCTTTTATACAATAATCTAGAAAACAATAGAAATCCTTTTTTGTAACGGACAACATGATTTCCACTGAATTGTGTTTTGGAATAATTAGCATCATAATGCAGAAAAAAGCTTTTAGAAATTAGAATTAGTTATAATTGTCTAAATTAAGATAGAGCACGAGATACCTTGCTAAGAAAGAGAAAACGAAAGCGAATCAATTCTCACTACGACTGTAGATAGTATTTCACATACTACATAGAAACATATAGAACTCAGTAAACCTGAGAAAGCAAATCAGCAGCTACATGACGAGGAATCGCATGCTTGTCAGCAATAACTAAAACTTCAGATGGACCAGCTGGCATGTCTATTGAAACCATGGCTTCACTGTTCTGCAGAAGATTTTGAACAGTACTGTTAAGCAGGAAGAACTATAAGATCTGAAGAGTAAAGCACAATATATAATAGATAGATTAAAAGAGAGCTTCAAAGCTCACTTGCAGAATCATTTTTGCAGCTGTGACATATTGGTTTCCTGGGCCAAAAATCTTCTCAACCTACAAAAGCATTATCACAAACTCAGAATAAGAAATCATGAAAAGGAAAATTAGAAATATGAAGTATTTAAATCTGTTATTATCAAATATTAAGAAAATTCAAATAATGTTCTCGACCCTATAAATTACATAGTACATTTCATATACCCTTTAAATCTTGAATATGAGCAAAGTCTAATATCACCGTTGGTCATTGTGTTTCCAAACAAATCAACTTTATTTTCTTTTTTAATCTATTTTAAAAATACAAAGATGATTCCGTTGTCTTTTCTATCATTTTGTTATTCAACAATCCAAAAGTTTCTTCTTTTTTCATATGGTATGTTTTCTTCTGATTAAAATAAAAACTTTAAAAAGCTTTCTGGTATGAAAAAATAAAAACATCTGCGTTATAGATCAGAAAAAAATTGTGAATAGCTTCATTTTCATACTACTCTTTTTATGTATAATTAAATGATTAAAGAATGCATTAAGACACTCGGCCTATCAAGAGTAGGGGGGGGAGTTCAAGAGCCATATAAGAGTTTTACCTCGCCAAAACAGAATAAGATACAAGAACTAGATCAGTGATAGAACAACCTGTAATTACAGAAACATTCAAGACAGATTCTTGAATGATTTTATTACTAACAAAACTGTTTCTACCAATGTGGTAGATAACAGCAACAAGTTACAACAATTGAGGATCTTTCGACCTCACTCTCCCACAACTCCTTTCCCTCCTAGAACAACTCTCCCACAACTCCTTTCCCTCCTAGAACAACAAAGTCAAGTACATTGTAAAACATCTACAAGAGATTATAACTGTCACATTCTGTTATTCCTCCTTTTATGCACAATTCCAAACCTATAAATCAGAAAATGTAGAAAGACAGATTCTTTATTGCTTGCTAGAAGACTAAATTACAGGTTTTCGAGAGTCCAGTACTCTCCACAACAATGATCAATTATGATACCCCTTCATAACTAACAACCCCATTTTTATAATACCCACCTCATCAACCATCAATAAGTGTACTTAGCTATTAGTTATTTCTGTTAAAATTACACATGACCTTATCCTTTGTGTCCCTCCCATTTTGCTTACTGTAGACACTCCTAATAGGAGATCTCAGCTCCTTACAAGATACACAAAAGATAAGTAAACAAAATCCTCATAGGATAACACGCGGAACAGTAAGAGAAGAAATAAGCTCAATCTAATAGCTATAAACTATAGTTTGAACGGAAATTTTAATATAACAAATGAGATTATAATGAGAAGAACAGATCCACCTTGGGACAGGTTTCTGTTCCCCAAGCCATGGAAGATATGGCCTACAAAATCAAATATTGTCATTTTAATCATTGTTTAATCATAACCATGGCATGATAGTACAAATACACGATTATAAAATTAAATTAAACATAAGGATGTTAATTTCAAATTATAGAAAAAGATAAGACAAGGGTGAAATTATCATGCTTCAAACCTGAGCACCTCCAGCTTTGAGGATGTGAGTAACCCCTGCCTTCTTTGCACAATACACTATCTCCTGTGGAGGAAACATTGGTCAGAAAAGATACTAACTTCAAATATGTTTCCATACAATACAGATGAGTACCTTGCATATAGTCCCATCCTGAGCTGGAGGAGTAGCAAGAACAACAGTTTTACATCCAGCAATCTGTGCAGGCTGGTATATAAATAAAACAATCAAAGATCAATAAAATTTGAAAAGATGATGATGATTATCAACTATCACGACGCTTCTATAGGATGGAGAACAATACCAAAACTAATTAGAGATAAATTCAACTTACAACTGAAAGCATCAGGGCTGTTGAAGGTAGTACAGCAGTTCCCCCTGGAACATAAAGACCCACAGAATTAATACTTCTTGAAATTCGCTTGCATTGGACTCCCTGACATTTTCAGAAAAATCAGAAGACTAATTTAAGACAAACATGTAGGCAAGATAATGAAATGAAATAACTTGTTATCAGCACAGAAAAGATAAAGAACAGGTACGCATATAACTAGTAAAAAGGCACAAATTGAGTTATCCAAATATTGCACTTGTGTGATTTTGATTTTGGTTCTTTCGTTGGTTTTCTGTTGAATATTTAAAAGATGTTGCTGAAATAACATTGAATGATGACGTGCACCTAATATGATGTCTAAAACATATCACGGCATGACTTAATTTCACTTCTAGTCCCACATGATTATGGTATCAAAAGGGATGAAAATTACAATTAAGTCACGACAGCATGTGTCAATAAAACATGTCAATTGTCATGTCATTACATCATTCTCTAATTTCGATCAACAAGAATCTGCTAATGTATTTGAATACAAACTAACAAGAAGGACTACGATCGCACAACTAAGGATTTAATTTGCACAATTGGAACTGGGTAGACTAGAACCGTACAATTACAATACTCGAAAAAAAAAATTATAAATGTGTATAATTACGATACAATAAAGACTAAAGTACAATTAAGTCTAATAAAAAAGTAAATAATTAAAAAAATGCAAGGCTTTTTAGCTTATTAGATCCCCATTTATCTAAATTTTCCTACTTGCGAAATAACCCTACATAATGAAACGCGAATACTTTAAAGAATAAGAATGTGATCATACTTTGATATTCTCAACATTAGTTTCAGGTGTTCTCTGAGCAGCATGAAAGGCGTATATATTGCCGTAAGCGATATCGAAAGCTTCCTTAACATGTGCATCAAGCTGAAATGCAATGCAGAAAGCCAAAATTGAATAACAAACAATTTAAACAAATAACGGAATGGTGATATGAATAAGCAATAAAAACACCAGTGGATCTGGAAGGTCGGAGACAAGTTGAACAATGTTATCCAATTGAACTTTGTCGAATCTCAAAGTATATCTACAAAAGTAGGGAAAGAATAGAGAGGATGATAATGATCCTATCGACAATAACAATGGAGAATGAACAGAGTAGTAGAGAATAGAGAAGCACGAAGTTACTCTTTGACAGCAGCATCGCCTCTCTGTCGAACATGGTCAACAATGGGGTTGACCTGCAAAAAGAAGTACGAGAGACTGAAAACGACGGTGAGAAAGAGGGAAAAGCGTGAAAGGATGGAGGAGAGTGGGGCATACCAGAGCGAAGGCAGAAGAGAAATCGATACGAGGGCGAGCCACGAGACTGCGAAGCTCAGCACCGCCCAGTTCTGACAACCTATACGACTTCATAATAACCAAATCAATGTCTAATCATCGATTTCGCTTCTCTCTTGTATTATATTAATCATCGTTAATTTAACTTTTTTACAAATTAGTAATTATAATTAAATTAAATTATTGAGATTTTAATCTCTATTGTATTATACTAATCATAGTTCATTTGTACTTTTATAAATTAAAATTATAATTAAATAAAAATGAAAGGTTAATATTTTCTTTAATTTAATGCGATAAACACTAAGCACCGTGAAACCAAACTCTTAACCTCAATTCCTTACAAGCGAAACCAGACTCTCAACCTCAATTACTTGTCTAGTCTAAGTCAGTTCCACAGTACTCTCTTTCCCTTCTCCTCGTGAGCATGCCTTCATATTTTTTTGTTATTTATTGATTATGGACATTTTAAAAAAATTATTATAAAAGTATGAAAAGTAATAAATATTAATATTATTCATAATAACTATAGTCATAAAAAACAGCGTACACTTTCCAAGTAAATTATTTATTCTTCATAGGACGTACAAGTAGTGTATGCGACACACTCTAATAATATAAAGATATGCAACGAATGATAATATATCAACTATTTCCTACTACCTCAACCTCTCAATTCTCATAGCATCCATTCAATCTCGCTTGTCTGCTTTCAAAAACACCAACCATCTGATTACACCTAAAAGAACTGTACTAGCTGACTATAGTTTTCAAACTTCAAAATTTATTCTTTTTTACAATTCCATTCCCATATTACATTATAATGGTGTTCATCAACACGCTTCAGTACATCATCTTCAAGTTTCCAATCCCTTTTAAACAAGGCAATCTGTGAAGCATAGCCGGGTTCAACATCAGCAGAACCACCAACCCCGCTAAACTCCACCTTGTAATTGTGCCGAGCAGCTAAGTCAGATGCCCACTGTGTGAACTGTGCTCTGGTCCACTCAAATTTGTGGTCGTGATTACGAAACTTGCATGATTGTAAGAGGGTTTTCTCGTCTAATTCCTCTTGTTCTTGGGCTGGAGAATTCGACTTTTGGAGTACTACATTGTATTCAAAATTTGGTGTGGAAACGATAAGAATTCTTGGCCGGAAAAAACTTAATGTCACATCCCCAAATAGACAAGCTTGATCTTCTTCCATATGTTCAATTACCTACATTGTATCATCGATTGATATAAGTTGATTCATGGGTCTAAATAGTGTTGCTCAAAAGAAATATTATGTAACCATAGGCATAGGAACATGACAATGATAGCACAATACAAGAACAATTCAAATAATACAAACTATGAAGTAATATTTCCAGTGAATTGGTGCAGAAAGTAACAGGTATGCATGTACAACTATTGCTAGTTATAACAATGCAAAAGTGTTGACTGCTTGTCCATGCACTGGCTAAAGAATGATAAAGACCACTAGCAGAATTACATAGGTCATAAGGCTAAGGTACTTGAACTAGAATGTGTAGATGATGCTTGAAAACATGTGCATACCGCATACTACCATGAAAGCGGTGACTGCAGTCACTGCAGAGAAATTAGAAAATTAGAAATCATCATAGATGTCCATCTTCCTGGCCTGTTCTACAACTAATTTTATCCCATGTAGCGATTCCCATGATGGTAAATTTCAATTGTTCAGTCAAACTCTTTTTACTTTCAATCACATACAGACAATTTAATTCCAGTTGTATTAGACGATTAGCACAAAAACATTGACGAGTCATAAAGAAATCATATGGCAAATGTAATTTGAAATATTAAACCCAAGGTATTGATAGAAAAATTATTTATCGGATAGTGAACATATTCTAAACTCACAAAATAATCAAATCATTTATCATATATATGATTTACTTGCAGAAAGAATTGATATGAAGTCTTACAGGAGGGCTAGCCATGTCTAAATGAAGTCAACAATGGCATAACAGAATATATAATGGGATTATGAAATTTACCTCTAAACAAGTACCAATATCAAATCCTTGCAACTGCGAGCCAAAATTTGTAATTGAACCTTCATAAAGAATTACTGATTGTACACTTGTCCATTGCCCAACAGCATCTGAATTTGTGACTAATTTTGAATTAAGTACCTGCAAATTTGTGCACACAAAACCAAGCAGCTTTACTAACAAAGCAATATTTATACAACAACTAAGCATTTTTCACTAAGTGGGCCGGTTAGAATGGATCAACCAATTTCATGGTGAAAATTTCCGTACTGGACAGAATACTAGTCAGCTGTCACTTTAATCCTCCAATATTAAAATAAATCCCTCAACTAAAAAGAGCACATTCTTGTTATTCAACAAAAAATAATAACATAGTGAGACCAATTACTTTGACATTTTCTCTAGTTACGGACACTATCATGTACATATCAAGAATTTGCTAATTTCAAGTGACGAACAACCAAGATTCGCATACATAATGGGCAAAACAAAAGCCTTTTCATATTATGCAAAAATGTTGGGACACATAACTAAGTCCATAAACATTCACATCCCTTTGGATATTTTTAAGATCTATCTTGTTCTGATAAAGACTCCCCCAACATTACATGTTTTGAAAAACCCTAGATCTATCTTTCTCATATGTATAAGCATAAACCTGACCAGACTAAAAACAAAAACGAAAACTGTTATATGATAGTGAATGTGATATGACCTTTGCAGCACGGCTAAGACCCTTCTGTGAAATATCAACACCCGCCATTTTCTCCAAAGATGTTGGATAATTTAACAGTGCTTCCAATAAGCTTCCAGATCCACATCCAAAATCAATCTGTGATGAAAGAAAACATCAAATTTACAATTTATATTAACCAAAGAAAACCAAAGATGAAAACATTTTCTATACCAACGTAGTGGCATGGGATTCTAGAATTTGTTGCACTGCAAATTCCACCCGTTGCTTTGATAGAGGAGGGCTGAAAAGAGCCTGCTCCATTCTTTCCTCGGGAGGTTCAGCAACCTTGATCAAACTTATTTCATATTCTATACGACAGTCTTCTGAAAAATAAAATATAAAGCCAATGACAGTCAGCAATTTAACCCCACGCTGAACCAGGCAAGGACGGGAGAATTGAGAGAAAGTAACTCACTAGAAGATAACAAGGACAACATTTTGACTGAATCACCAGCTGAAGCAGAAAACAAATCAGGAGCGAGAAAGTTTGTAGAGAAGTAAGCGCACTGGCCAACAGACATCTGCATCACAACCTCCTCAATATATGAAACTACAGCACCAACTCCCACTTCAAATTCAAACTCATCATAGACTTCAATAACTTCTTTAACATTCTGACTCTCCACAGCCAAAGACACTGAATACCTTATACAAGGTAAAGATCCATTGCATGGACGGACACCAGAATACGGACCTTCAATCTTTAACGACTGCACTACATTTCCCAGAATGTCATCTAATGAATTCATATAGGTTGATTCGACTAATTTATTGCATCGAATTGCATTAAGCTCGCCATTCTGTGCTGATTGACCGGCTAAAATCTCACTGATAATGTTGTTGGAAAAAATCTGGATATTAAAGTCGTCTGCAGTCTCATAAAGCTGCTCAAAAGGGAGAATCATACTCTTTAACCACATATTCAGCCATGACAGAACTTTCAATGAAACATTCTGAATAGCGTCATTCTGCTTTTTATAACCATCCTTCGGGGAACACAAAAGTATTAAATCTCCACACCTAGAAAGCAATTTTATTTCACATTTAAACAACTCTGAATCTGAATTCTTTGGACTTGTTACAGAGACCCCATTGACATGTTCAATCACATTCTCATCAGATTCTGCAACCTTCAAACATGATCCTGACAATCCTGACGATGTTTTGAAAGGATGAAATGAAAAGCGAGGTTCGGACAGACGGTGCTGGCGGCAAAACATACAAAGTATATCCCTGGGAAGAGAACCCCTCCAGTTTGCTCTTGTGGTGAATCTTGATGGCAACTCAGACACAAGTATTGCCTCTCTGGATAATTTATAAATTCCGCCTGGTGTCTTCCCTAGAAGCATTCTATAATGGAAATATAACCATCATTAAATGATGCAAACTAAAACAATTATGCAGACATGGATATTGAAAAACAATTATTGACTTATTGCTCAGAAAAAGACAATTACAAATGTTGATGTTCATCAAAGTAAATACTTGACAATTGAATTCGAGGGACAAAATTGATTGTGAGACTCACATAGGGTAAGACATGAGAAACCAACGTCAGAATATGTTAGATATCCATAGACCATTACTTAGTTACTTAGTTAGGTTAGCATGCTGGAATAATTAAATTAGGCATGTTGCTTATAAAAAGGAGAAGCTTGAGAGAAATATCTGTCATTTGAGAAAAGAGTGGGGAGAAAACAGGGCCTACCTAAGATCCTCAATATTAAAATTCTCCTAGTTCAATTTCGATCAGAAGAGCAGGTAAAATAGTTTAACAATACAGGCTCTTCCCTATAATCGTTGTAAACATTCAATTTGAAGAGACATCGATTCAGGAATTCGTAAATCAACAAAATATTTAACAAGAAACAAACTGTTTGTTATCATTGTCATACACGATATGCAACACTTTTACCCAGAGAAAAAAAAAATTATATATATATATATATATATATAACAAGAACAAACATGACATAATAAAGAGTAAAGAGGAAATATTTTTCAATCAAAACACCAACAAAATAATTTAGAAGTTGTTCTGCAGGAGCAAATAAATACTTTGGTTGGCACTATGATACAGCAAAAGTGCATGACATAATAACACCTTTCTATTAATCAAGTATTACTAGCAATTTACTCTTAAAAGGCAATATAAGTTTGGCAATTATGCAATAAGCAATAAGCAATTCAATGAATCATTTGAATTTAAAGAGACCTGTAATATAATCGAACCGTTACATCCTCATAGAAAATGTCTCTAGACTTCCGTGTATATCCAATCGATGCTAATATTGCATCACCAGTTATATCTTGCCCAG